TTTCCCCCACTGGGTTTTTTTTTTTCTCGCTTCCTGTATCAATCTCCGATATAATCTGCCCCAGCAGAGTAACACATTCGCACTCTCCTGGCTCCAGCAGCGTTTCCCACTCAGCCAGGCCACGGCATTTCAAGGCTTACACAAAACACACACGTCCTTCTCAGTTCCGACGATCCCACGAGAGTAGGAATGGAAACAGAGTGATACTATTAGAAATCATTATCATTACAGATAGAAAGCGTGTTGTCCTGGTTGCTCTCCAGGGGTGATTAGATATTCCCCCCTTCCTTGGAAATACAGGCTGTCTACAGAACACTTTGCTTTTAAAACAGAAATATCAGCACTGTTTTCCTACCAGGCAGCTCTGCTGGAGGTGGTAATACTAGAAGCTCCGTTGCAGGCTGTCCCGATGGCATTTCTAGTCATGGTATTTCTTAACCAGGGGAAGAGCCGGCCCCGGCCAGAGCTCGTGGGATGCAGGATGGCAGCCGCGCTGGCGGCGTGGCCGTGGGTCAGTTGTTCGCCTCTTGCTGCTATTTCTTCTGCAGGTCAGTCCTGCAGGGCAGGGCCTGTCTCGGGTAGGTGCGTGTCCAGCACTTGGCCCTGCCGAAGGCAAGTCAGAGCCTGATTCCAGCGTTCATCATCCTCCAAGCTGCAAGGTCAGAAGTGTCACTGGTGAGGACCCTGCTCCGTGAGAGTCCCTCAGACTGTGACTTGCTGGGTGCTTCCCATCGATGGTTTTCAGTCCCCTCTGAAATAAATGTACTGCAGACTTCTAGGGCTGCGACACAAAGTTTAGCGAGCTTTGGAGCTGCCTTCCAAACCCTTCTGTTGACTGAGCTTGGAGTAATTGTGAATGTGAGACAGTTTCTGTGCTGTTCGAGCTTGCATTGGTCTAGATTGCCATGTTGCAAGGGTGCCCGTGCCTCCGAAAGGCCGTTGTCAGGCCCAGAGCAGTCAAATTCTCCCTGACCCAAGGAAAAGGAGGTCTTTCGAGCACAGCATGCGTACAGTGTCCCAAAGCCATTTAGACCACCGTCAGAAGTACATGCGTTTAAAAGAACTGGCAGGAACATCTCTCATCAGCTCTGCCTTATACGCTTTCCGTCACCTCTGCTTTTCTGCTTCCAGACTTCAACTGTTCGTGCTGAAGATTTTCCAGCCTGGGTCAGCGCCTCAGGCTGGGGTTTAGTTTCCAGTGTTTCAAAAAGGCACAGTTCAACTGTTTCACAGAACAAGGTTGGCTAAACGAGCTGTTTTCCCACAATGTGGAGACGTTTTTCCTACTGCTCCTAACCAGTTCTGGCACCTCCAGGCCTTGGAGCGA